TCTCTGGTTTTCATGGTGCCTGTACCACCTCATATCTTCTTAAAGGCCTCATGGTAAAGGGAAGATGGAGATAGCAGGGTACCTGCCACAGAGGGGCTTCCAAGATGCACAGAAGGTAAAAGGAGTCTCCTAGTGCCTCCTGAAGGATTTCGTCTGAGGTCTAAGGACCTCCAATGAAGACTCACATAAAGGCGCACACCACCAACTTAAGGACCATTTTCTACACATAGTTTTTAAGGGAGGGGATACAAACCATATTTAAACAATAGCAAGGGTACCTTCTGGAATCTTCCAACTGTATCATTTCCTAAGATAGTTTTCCAAAGTATTAGTAGCAAGTTCAGTTCAGAAATATGCAAATATGCTGATGTACTTCTACATTTAGAACAAATGTAGGGATGAAGGAATACATATTTCAGCATCATTAAACACTGAAAATCAGAGAGACATGACCCTAAAAACCCCAGGTTTCAAGAGACTGTGGAAGCCCTATCGTTGGTCAGAGCCTATTCTCAGCTAAGCATTGGTTAGAATATGCCAGGCACATTAGAAATGCTAATGAGGCTAACAGCCTGGGAAATTGTCAAACTTGACTAGCCTTCCATACAGGAAGAATGACTCAAATATCATTACTCTGTAAAAGGAAGCAATATACAGGTGAATTCTCTTATCATCATACCATCTGTGGAAATGCAATGCCGTATCTAACTTCTTGATGGAACACTTTTCCCAAGTAATTTTACAACCATAGGTCATAGTTCTAGATAACTGGTTTAGGTGGGTTGGCATTTTTATGAAGTAAAAAGAATTACCTTCCATGTGTCTTCCTTTACTGATTCCCATGCATCTCTACTAGTGTCTTGACAACTCGTTGCCTAAAATATTAGTTAAGAACTCGTGATCACCTTATTTGCTTTGTATTTTGTGATCTTAAAATTTACTAGAATTTATTAACACTAGCTGTGTAAGAGACTGAATCAATAAAACCTTGTGGTCCTACTGGACTTGTAGTCCAGTAAGAGGCAGTCCTGGCCATAGCTGCCGAGGGAGTTCTAGCTCACTCAGGCACCAGGAACCCCATTGAGACAGGACAATACAGAATAATGGAGGGAAATTTTTGCTATTGACTTGAAGATTTTGAACTTTGGTTGTTTGGGACTCATTTTGAAGTCAAATATAATGGTTACAGAATTTAATTTCCTTGAGCCTCAAGTTTTGTGGCTTAGTGATAACTTACAAGATAATATACTTTTTAGTGTAAAAAAACTTTTCAGGGACTGGAGAGATGGCTCAGCAGTTAAGAACTCTGGTTGTTCTTGCAGAAGACCCGGATTCAAATCCAAGCACCCACATGGCAGCTAACAGTAGTCCATAACTCCAGTCCCAGGGATCCGACAGCCTCTTCTGACCTCCACGGGCATTGCACAACAGGGGTGCACTTACCTACATGCAGGGAACACACACATAGACATAAAAAAATTAAAAATAAATAATTTTTTTAAGTTTTCAGTTTCTTCCTAAGGAATTTTTAATGGAAGAGGAATAATATTTAAATGTTTCTCTACATTGTACTTTTTGTACATTTTTTGTTGAAATTTCTGTATTTCATACATGACACCTTAATCATCTTTATAACCCCTTCCCATAGACACCCTTCCATAACCCCCACCCCACTGGATTTCATGCATTCTATCATTTATGTTAAGGCCTATCAAGTCGAGTTAGTATATTGCAATTTTAATATTACTGAAGTATGTTTATGCATTATATTATTACTTACTGAATATGTCATTTATTTTCATTGCAAAATCTCTACTATGCTATGAGCTATGCTAGATAATATGACTGACTTAACTGATGTGGTAAAGGGAATGGGGAATTATTTTCCAGTTCTGAAAATAGAGCACTCTTGGAATTGATTTAATACTAGGCATTCATTTTCAAGCTGAAAGTCCAACAACAGAACTCAAGCTTATGGTGAGGGATCCCCTTGGGTCCTTTGTCACACGTCCTGGATAACAAGGGTTGGAGCACATGTGGAAGCAAGCAATTATATCTCAAACTAGAGAGAGAGAGATTGGGTACTACTACCCCTCCTAAAGGCGTGCCCCTGGTGACCTATGGATATACCACCAGGCCCCATCTCTTAAAAGTCCACACCATCTTCCAGCACTGCCACCCAAGTATCTTGGAGGGGACACAAGTCATTCAAACCATAGCACCACCTAGTAGTGATAGCTGATCACATTTTGATTAAACCCATGTCTTCACCAAAAAGAAATGGTTATTTACAAAAAGAGGTATAAAGGGGAGTGGTGTGTTTCAATGTGGATAGAACAGTAACACTGTACTACTGCATCCTCCAATATCTTCTCTTACATGAGTTGTCTAGTTTGGAGGAATTTTGAACAGAATTCTTGAGTGGAAATGCATAAGAATCACTTCCTTTCCCCTTTTTCTTTGGTACTATCACCTGGGTCTTTGACCTTTGTTCTTATCTGGCCTGAATTGGAAGGAAGAACTACAATTGAACATTTCCCCTTGAAATGCTTAAAGGCCAAAGTTAGGTACTTTACTTTTTCATTGAAAGAGGAAGTCAGGACAATTTGTCACTTCTCAGAAAATGTCACTGAGTGCAATGGAAAAGGAAAAAAATGTCACCCATATGATTGCAGCAGTCTAAAAATACACTTTCACAAGGAAATACAAATGTTCTCAATTTGAGGGAATGAATAACTAGGAATACCCTAAGTGACTGATTAAAATGATGTGGAAATTGTTCAGCATTGCTTTGGGGATCTTTAACTCTTACCTCTGCTCTGAGACTGTCCTGGCTTCATTACACTGCCATGGTTACACATAATCCATCGCACTTTGTCACAGAATGTTTGCTTCCTATATTTCCACACATTAGCATCTGTATTTCAATATGAGTTTTTGGAACCACCCCTGGTCTCCTGCCTGGTGAGTACTGTGGGGCCAAGACTTCTGTCTCTTAAGGCCCAGGAAGCATGAGAAGGAGCAACTTGCCGGGAACTAGAATTGGGTTCATCTGGCACAAGTAATTTGATCCATTTCCAGCCACAGATAAAGTCGTATTGTCATTCCATTCAATATGGAAATGAAGTAATACCCTAAACATGGTGGCATCTCCACTTTGGAAATTTTCTGCTAAAAGAAAAGATTGTGGGGAGTATATCACCTCTCTTCAAGTGTTTTGAAGAAGTTTGTGGAGACCCCTTGTTTAAAGAATTGCCTAAAGGAAGGGAAAAATGGGTGGACATCACAAGCTAAACTACTTTGGTTTAACTTTATAAATAAATCAACAATTATGGCCATCCTTCTATGCAATAAGTTGCCTTGGTAACAATACACTGGGCCATCTCATGGTACTGATATCCAAATGATTCCCATTCAGGTGCAAAGGAGACCAAATCCAGTAGAGCTTGGGGAACTTAAAACATTTTATGAGCAGTTTTTCCCCATAAACAAGACACAAGGCACTGTGAACTGAATTTTTTGAAAGAGAAAAATTTAATATATTTTATCTTATTATACATTTCTCCTAAATTACAAAGTTAACAGCTGCAAATATATTCTGCTACAAAGCTTTCTGTAAGAAATATCTTTATAAGAAAATACATCTCATTAACATTTCCAGTAAATAAATTACTTCAAATAATAATTTTTGAAGGGGTGACTATAAGGGAAAGAGTGTGGGAAGCAGAGTCTAAGGCTGCGGCTGTGTGAGAAATGTCTGACTGAAATGTTTTATTTTCCTGCCACCAAGCTTATACAACCTGTTTGCACAAATTTTGGCTCTTAAGTAAATTAGCTTATAATTTCTGCTTTAGCAGGCATACGTGGAGCACAAATTTTATTCATCTTAGTGTGTATGGGAACCTGAAATTCTTAGGCTTGTACTAGAAGAACTAGAATTTGAGATTGCAGGTGGGATTTAAGCAAAATAAGAGGAACTTGGGATCCATAGAGCTTAAAGGTTATCACAGTGTGGTAACCTTTTATTTTCTCTCTTATGCTGTAGACATAATATTTAGAACTGGGTTCAATAAAAAAGAGTCATGAAATGGTTTCAGAGAATTTAGGACTGGCTTTTATAGATTAGCAGTATGTAGATTTTACAAGTTATTACATTACTAACCAACAGTGGCTACAGTAAGTACAAACTATAGGTCTTTGGTAATAAAATACCCACTACAGAGGGAAGTTAGTATAGAAACTTCTGATGACAGCATCAATCAGAAGCTTAAAGGGGTCTGTCAATGGATTCCCTTACACCACCTGCCTTAGGAACCTACTTTGTGAGACCTTCTTATATTGAGATTATTTTACAACCTCAAGAAGATAAGATATTTTGAGGATAGGAAGGGCAAATTGCCTTAAATGGAACTCACCTACAGAGTAAATGCTGTGCTGTCAAACCCCATGGTGAACTTCCACTTTGGTTGCGGAGTCTCTGGGGTCAATTGTAAGAATTAAGCCTGCGTTTCAGACATGATTTTACTGTCACCCTAACCTGGACAAGCAACAAAGTTTCCCCCACTTCCTTGCTGTGCTTCCCCACAATAGAAACCATCCATGTCTCTAGCATCAGCCTCGGCCTACTCCACTCCAGATATGCAAAAATAAATGTATTTACCACTCTAATTCTATCAAATGTAGAATATGTCAAAGTTTTATAGAATAGCATTCTCCCCTTCAGCTTTGCTTCCCACGTTTTAAATGTCTTTGCTTTGCTTTTTTTTTTTTGTCCAATCTTTGAAAAATCTGCCTTGTGCTTGTGTTACACTAGTCATAATTAGTGACTGTGGCTTGGAAAGGAGTCATATATGACTAAGAGAAATGCAGTGCCATTCCTTCAGAACAAAAGATGTTGGCATATATA